CTCGGCCAGGCACAAAGCCATAGACTCCACCCTCCAAACCAACTATTCCCTTCTGGGGAACCATCGTTGCCAATCTCCAGGTGAGGGCTGGAGATCACTCAAAATTACAACTTCTTTAGGTAGCAGAGATCAGTTCCTCTGGAGAAAGTGGTGGACTCAGTGTCATTATACCCTGCTGAGGTCGCCACAGCAAATTGACACTGAGTGTCCAAGGCCGGGGCACCCACCCAGAGCCTCTTTCTAGAGGCCGTTGTATTTATTTCCACAACGGGCCTGTGACGTCCCCTTAACTGGGGAGGTCTGGTTTTACTTTAAAAGTGTTCTTTATATTTTATTCTACTGGGTATTCCAGCTGCCACCAGGAAATTTTAAAAGGATTTCCAAACCTTTATGCTTTCTTTATTTCTGGGTAAGTATGTCGAGGGTTTAAGGCGTTCGAGGTACTATGTGGTCCTGGGAAGTATTTCTTTCAGAGTGGGTATATTTGAATAAAAGAGCGTTGGCGAACGCGTTGGCGAGCGTTGGCAAACTGAAGCGTTGGCGAACAAACATCTTGCATCCGGCTTCATTTTATTTCACTGCTGTTTTTTAATATCACTGTAGTTGAGACTGCAAGAGCTGAATCCTGAGAGCTTTGATCTTCCCTGCCTGCTGAGACTCATCCAGGCAAATGTTAACCTTTGCTCTACAAGAGATGGTTGTTTGTATCCAGAGGTGAAGTCAGCTAGAACTTCAGGTTCATGACCCTTCTTTGCTTAACCAGCGACAAAATGCAAACAGCCTGTCATGGATTTGTATGATTAAACATATGCGAGTATGACGCCCCCCTCCACTTCCCTCCCTCAGAGGCAAGATTTTCCCTCCATTTTTATTAGCCTTTACTGACTGAGCCACCCTAGTAATGTGTTTTCTTCTTTGCTGAAGAACTCTGGCTGTCCCACCCTGTCACAGTATGGTATTTTGGTTGTTGGCCCAGCCCAGGAACCTGTGGGAAGGATCGGGAGCCCCCAACTTAAATGGCACTCGAGGTGTTTTGAAATTCAAAAATAACAAAATATTTTATTTAACATAGAGGGGAAAGGTCAGGTGAAATCAGGGGTAAAATTTCTGAAGTAACTTGAATAAATAACTCTGAGGTAAAACAGTATATGCACAGACTCTAGCTCATATGCTTTTTTAGGCTATTGGGAGTTTCATAAGCTTTTCCCAGTGACTTACGAACTTCCATTTATTTATTTATTCAGTTTATATTCCGCCCTCCCCGCCGAGGCAGGCTCAGGGCACCTCACATAGAATTACATAAATAATCATGCTTTCTTTATTTCTGGGTAAGTATGTCAAGGGTTTAAGGCGTTCGAGGTACTATGTGGTCCTGGGAAGTATTTCTTTCAGAGTGGGTATATTTGAATAAAAGAGGATTTATTGAAGTAATTCACAAGATTAATTCATTGTAACCAGGAAGGCTTGAATATTGAACATATGCTTGGTGTATCACACTCTTTTCTCTCTTACTGACAGGGATATGGGCATGTAAATTTTGTAACCCTTTTCCCTTCAGGCCATATACGGTTACTGTTTCTTTATACTTCAACTTTTCATAACACACAAGACTGTCTCTCCTTCAGACTTCAGAATGAACTTAACTTATCAATTGTCTTATTCAATTTTAAGACATAGAACTTAACAACCCACACAGGGAAGCCTCTCCTTCAACTCTCATACATAGTTTAACTGAACTTTTTCAACTGTCATCTCTAACTGACCCCCTCGATAGACATTCAAATCCTCCACACAGCATCCATTCCAAAAACCCTCCCCCTCTCTGTCACTCACCAATCATATCACTTGCCTAATTCCACTACTCTAGACTATCATACAGCCATGCATCCAAACTTTTCAAGACACACACACAGAGTTAAACATGAAATCGTTACAGGGCCTTTTTCCTAGTTACAAATATTACAGATGAGATTAAAAGAAAAAAGGATGAATTTAAAATTTTCTGGGGGGATACATCTTGCCAAATCAATTTTTTGCAACAACAGTTATCTATGTTAACAATAAGAGAAATGGAAACAAAATTTAATTGTGTAAATCAAAACAAAAAAACCCCTCCTGGATTTCCAAATAAACCAGGAAAGCGGCTGGCATATAAACTGAGAAAAGAAAGAGGAAATAAAATGATATTAAAAATACAAGAGGGAAATAAAGCAATAGTGGATAATGTGGCTATTCAAAAGGCATTCTATAAATATCATTCCACTTTATATAAAGGCCAAGATGTGCCAGAGATGGAAAAGGATGATTATCTTAGAAAAGGAAATTTACCTAAAATTATAGAAGAACAAAGATGTATTGTTTATTTATTTATTTAGGCATTTTTACCCCGCCCTCCCTGCAAGCGGGCTCAGGGCGGCTTACAAGGGGCATGAGCCCATACATAAAACCAGATAAAACAGTAAAATCATGAATACTAATAACAATAATAAAGTGACTATGAATATGAATAAGAGAAGTTGTAGAAGCTATAAAAGAAATTAAACCAGGAAAGGTTCCTGAAACAGATGGATTACTGGGTTTGTATTTGTGACGACCTCTTATTTGGGGAGGTCTGGTTTGCCTTTAAAAGTTCTTATGTTTTTACTCTGTAGGGTATTTTCGCCGCCACCAGGGAAATTTAAGGCTTTCCCAGCCTCTTACTATAATATATTTCTTCTTCTGGTTTGGTAATGTGGCCAGGGTCTAGGCATTCATGAAGGACTATGTGTTATTTCCTGAGGAATTTTGTTCAGAACTGTTATCTTAAATAAAAGTAGATTTATTTGCTGTTTCACACACTTTTCTCTTCACTGACAGGGCTCTGGGCATGTCACTATGTAACAATAGTTTCCTTTAGCCATATATGGTCACTGTTTCTTTATGCTTTAACTTTTCTTAACACACACCAGACTTCTCTCTTATGTTTCACACAGGAACCGTCTCACACAGAGACCTCAGGACAAAACTAATATATTAACTGCTTTTGTACAGCACTCTCTGCTGTCTGACTAACTGTTTTACTCCGAACTAAGCAACCCACACAGGGAAGCCTCTTCTTATCTGTTTAACTGTACTGTTTAACTGTATCTCCACTCTGTAACTCAGAACTCTCTAACTGTCATCCTTAACTGTTACTCTTGACTGACATATCGGTTCATCCACACAGCATTCATTCCAAAACCCCTCCCCCTCTCTGTCACTCACCAATCACACAACTTGCCTATTTCAGCATTCTAGATTGTCCCACACATCCATACAAACCACTTTTAAAGACACACACACAATAAAACATGGAATCGTTACAGTATTATAAATGCTTTGAGGGTGAAATCCTACAACCTTTGCAAAACACAATGAACTCTAGAGCCAATTTGGTTGTAGTGGTTAAGAGTGGCAGACTCTAATTTGGAGAACTGAGTGTGGTTCCCCACTCCACTTGAGGCCAGCTAGGTGATCTTGGGTCAGTCACAGTTCTCTCAGCTGTTCTACCAAGAGCAGTTCTCTCAGAACTCTCTCTGCCCCACCTACCTCACAGGGTATCTGTTGTAGGGAGAGGAAGGAAAGGAGATTCAGAGACTCCAAGTGAAGGGCAGGGTATAAATCCAGTCTCTTCTACTACTACTACTACTAGGTCACGGATGGATTATCCATGTCAGTTGGGCTGGCTGGAGACAGCATATCTCACTTGCAGGTGGACATGGGAGTTGAAGGAGAGCAAATTCTTAGTGATCATTATTAAAGGCCTCTTAGTAGTTGTTAGGCTTGGTCTATAAATTGGAGGGACAAGTAGCTATTTGATTTCAAATATTTGGGTGTTACTGTCAGAACCCACAGCCAACAACGTAGTACACACTTCTCAGGAAAGGTAATACTTTATTGAAGAACTATAGATGCATTAACATAGGCACTGTTAAGAATGGCGGCTGCCCATCGGGCATAATAGGTTATAGGGTATTCGTATGCACACACACACACACCCCCACTGCCCTGGACAATTAGCCATAGTCCCGCACGTGGGAGAAGGAGTTCAGGCCATTAGCACTGAAGCTGGGAACCAACCTCTCTCCCACGGTTCCACTGAAACCAGACATCACACCACCTGTACAACTTAGAGATAAGCATTACAGCAGTTAAGAAGCACAGAAAGAATGCAGCAGCAATTAGTATTCAACAGATCTCCCCAACCCCCATGGCTGCATAGCTGACAGTTACGTCCAGTCACAATTTGATATGGACATCTCATTTTTCTTTAGCTCAAAAAAATGCCGAAGTAGATATAAATGCTCCGGTATACTTTTTCTACTTCAAAGGAGGGCAATACGTACCTGCAGCCATTGAGGCCTTTAATGCAAAGGTACTTCCACAAATTTTACATGGTGCAGGTATTTGGATAAATGGTGTATCTGATTCTGTTGATGGCCCTCTCTTGCTGTAGCTCCATCATGTGTTGCAGGACCTGCACTAGGAATAGAATTTGTTCACCGGTCGCTGGAATCTAGGGCTTGTCTTTGTGCTTTTAAACTGAGATTGAAATCCCCATTCCAAAATTTAAGACAGCTTTCCAGAGTAGTTGCCTACTTTCCAGAGTAGTTGGGAGGGTCCCGATAAGTGATGTCTCACTGGAAAAAAAAAAAATCTCCTGACACAGGCACATGGTGCAGTAGCTGAACCACTGGGCGTGAGTGCCCCAGATTTAAGAGAACTTTGCCAATAATCTGGAAAGCTAATGAGAGGTCTCAGTGTCTCCTGCCAGAGATCTTTAACATGAGCAACTGAAGCAGTCTTTTGTCCCTGAATTCAGATTGAGGTTGATCTGAATAATCTGCAGTGAATGACTTTTGGATGGCTAGTTTACAAGCATAATAAATAAGATATCATCGTGTTAATCCGGAAGTGATGTTTAAAGGTGGCATTATTCTTAATTTCTCTCTTTTGTTTTGTCTGTCTTTTCCCCCGTTTAGTTGATGATTTTTGGAATCTTCTTGTGCTTGGATGCTTTTCTCTACGTGTTCACCCTCCTTCCGTTACGAGTCTTTCTGGCAATGTTCAGGTTCATCACATTGCCTTGCTATGGCTTACGGTAAGTTCCCTTTACTTTGTAATAATGGAGTTGACATGGTTTATAGAAAAACATCTATTAAATTTGCCTGTTTAACCATGGCCCCAGTCACACGGGAGGTTTTGCGCCTCAAGAGGGATGAATCGGGGGCGCAGCAAACGGGCGCGATCGCACCACAACATCTGGGAAGCGGTGCGCACCCGCCCCCGATCTGTCCCTTCAGCCCGAAAACGCGCATTTAAAAAAAACCTAGGAAAGAGTACTACCAACCTGAAACACCGCAGCAAGCGCGGCCGTGGGATCGCCGGCGCGCCCATCTTCAGCAGCATTTGAGGCTCCCGGCCGAACTGCGCATGCGCACACATGCGCAGCCGGCTGCCTTGCTCTCCCTTCCGTGGCTCCCGGCGCCAATTTTCCCCGTGTGACCGTGGCCCATGTTGCTCTTCAAGCATGATTTTGTTTGAAAGTGCAAGTAGTTTCAGGTTAGACACAAAAGAGAGTCCTCAAACATGGCTTTGCTTTCTGACTCCTCATGTGCTTCTGCATGAGACATGACATAACGACACTGTGGTTAGAGAGTTAATAGAACGTTTGATTCCACAAGGTGACCCATGGACTTGTTGGATACATGATCTACTACGATTCACATTGTTACATTGTGGCCTTGAAATAAAATCAAGCTATTTATTTATACCCAAAATGCTACCTGGACTTCGCTGTTTACAGGTGCATAGGTTTTCAGACTTCAGAGGTGATCTGTCTCTGATACAGAAAATGGAAGTGGGTAAAAATGGCCTTTCTAGCAAGTGTTCGGAATGCTGATGCATATGTTATAGCTCACAAATTACTTCAATGCAAGGTTTTGGGAATAACCATTTATAGTTTCCCATTGCATTTGTAGACTCAGTTATTTGTGAGTGGAGAAAACTCTGGAACATACCTTTTCAGAGCAAATGGTATACCAGCATTCACAGCTTTTCAGTTTTTCCTTTGTATTTCAGTCCTTTGTGACACGGAGAGGTGGAGAACAATTGCGCAAGGGTACTAGTGAGCAAGGTCCCTCTCCCTGTTTCTTTTCGTTGTCCGATGTGAAGTGCTCAGGAAGTATTTTCAGAAAGCTTATTTGATGTCTGTGATCATCTAGAACTAGCCCTCTCAGCCACCTAGATACCTTTCTGTTTATAATGAGAATTGCAAGCGTGCTTTAGAGTTACTAGCCTAAAGCTAACATAAAGGTCTTGTAGATGACAGTTTTCTACAGATTTCCCAAGAAACTGTGTGTGCGTAATAGAAATACCCATTTCTGAAGCAGCGGCTGGCCACAGTGTAAATTTTACTTCTCCCCACTCCTCCAGATTTTCATTGGAAGGAGAAGTATGTCAAAAATTCCTTTTCCACTATGTGGACAGGTACAGCTTGTTTACGAAGTTGTTTTGTGCAAATAGTTTGCGTTCAACTTCTCATTGCCGCTGAAAAGGCAATGACTAGGTTACAGATGGTTCCTGGTTGTAGATATAGAAGTGGTCTAAGTATGATGCTGGAGACACCCAAACAGTGGGGCTGCAAGTCACAGCTTGTACGGGAATGAAAATAAATCTGCTACTGAGGTCAGCAGATAAGATTTCAGTATACTCAAGGGTATGTAAAGGTCTTGGGTACAATCCAGATATATTTAAATTGGTGCAAATTTTCCATTGACATTAATGGGATTGTCAGGTTAAAATGTCAGTTTACAGTGCCATCCTGTGTGGAGTCGCACCCTTCTCAGTCCTTTGAAGTCAAGGGGCTTAAAAGGGCGTAACTCTCCTTAGGATTGCACTGTGCCTTTTAGGCTCCTTAACTTAGATGCATATTTTGCTTCTCCTTGATCAGCAGCTTGTTTGACTTGTGCTTTTACATGGTTATTTTCTTCAGCGTCATGTTATAAAAGAGGGGCCCTGGCTTGGTGGTAGAGCATCTGCTTGGCATGCCAAAGGTCCCAGGTTCAGTCCCCGGTATCTCCAGTTAAAATATCTGGCAGCAGATGTGAAAGACCTCTGCCTGAGACCCTGGAAAACTGCTGCTGGTCTGAGCAGACAATCCTGACCTTGATGGACCAAGGGGTTCTGATTCAGTAGAAGGCAGCTTCATGCGTATATGATAAATTACATTTTTGCTATCTGTAGTAAAAAAAAGCTGCTGCTTTTAGGATTGTCAATTTGTCATGTTTTTAAGGGTAAAAATGCTAAAGGAATGTATATTCATCTGGCGTATGCGTAGGTATGCCGAACCAAATGCCACTCTAAAAAGGGCTGAAGTAACGAAAGCCTGTTGACAGCAGATGGGTTGCTTGCCTTCTTCTTCCTGTTCTGTGTGGGTATTCCTCCCTTTGACTTGTTTGAGCTGTATGAAAGATCTTCCTATAGCTGCCGCATCATATTCCATTCTGTGTAGAACTAAAAAGTGCTCCTCCCTTCATTCTGTTTTTTTTCCAATATCTCAACAGAGAGACTGTCTCCTATATCTCCATCCTTTGTTTTGCGCTTAGTTTATTCTATTCTAAATTGTTCAAAATAGAGATTATATTCCCTCAGACTTTATGCCTTCAAAAGTGTAGAACTCCTTTCCATGTCCACACTAATCCTTAATTCACAGCACTACGAATGGTGCAGAACACAACCCGGGGCCCGGCACAGAGTCTTATTTCAGCATGTCATCTCTCAGGCCAGGATGTCTCCCCCCCCCCCCAATCCTCCAAAAAAGAGAATTAGGGAGATTCCTTCATAGCTAGGATTGTTTCCTTTCCTTTTCTCTTTGTATGAATTTGACTCTTTTGTTTGTTTGTTAATTTGAGTTTGGCAAGCCTGCTCGACGAAAGACCCATTTGGGTCACTTGAGCTAGCTGTGTATATATGCTATATCCCAGTTTCAAGACATGTTCTGTTGTGCCAGAATTAGTGGCTTGTCTTTTGATACTGAAATCATGGAACAAAGACTTAACCGGTGCCTTCTGTTGCCTCAGTATTTAAGGGCACTACCAAATACAGAGCTTCAGAATATCAGGCATGCCGATTCAGCACATCCAGCTTCCTTAAGCCCTGATACGGCGCCAGTCCTGCCTAGTCTAGATAGCGGACTATTGCCCAGCAGAGATGGGCAGTTACTGCAAGCCTAGAAGTGACTGTGTTGAAGTGCTGACTCTTGAGGACTCGTTAAATGATGCAGGGGCCACAAATTGAGTCCAAGGTCCCTTGACCTGACTCACAATCACCCATTCATAGGAGGGCTTCCCTGAGAAAGCCCGCTGCTGTCCGAAGCTGAGCATTGCAAGGGGTAAGGAGGGGGGCTCTTTGCTCCTCTTGGGGCTGCAAAACGGTTTCTGAGTCCCCCTGTGGACATGTGACGGAGTCAGGCTGGAGAACAGCTGGCTCAACTTGTGTCACTTTGAGTTGTTTAGCTGTGTTGAGGCACCTTTGTGTGTGGGGGGGGGGGAGTTGCAGTCCAGAGAAAACTGTTGAGTGTTCTTTTCAGGTTCATTTAGTTATTATATCGACACCTGCCCTGTGACCTGTGGGCAGTTTACATCTGTTTCATTTAAAACACATTGATCAGTGTCCCAAAAGGATATGGCACACTAACTGCTGTCACGGACGGGTTATTACAGCCACAGATGGTAGCTAGCAGATGATAGACTCCACCGCCCACCCCCGAAAAACTTTATTTCTTACAGGGAAAAGGTAATCCTTAATTAAGATTAATTTATCTTTGTGTCAAAATTTTCTTCCTTTTAAGTATTTTTGAATACAGGTTTTGTTAACTTTACTGTAATCCCAAAGGCATAAATTAATTTGTATAATCCTTTATTTGGATCAGTTCTGCATCCTTCATATCAAGTGCATGTATACTGTTGTCTGCAGCAGTATATCGTTTGTGTTTTTAAATATTGTCCTTGTTGGAGACTACAGGGCTTTGATACTTCCAGCAAATAATACGAACGTCTCCTATTCATCTAATTCCACAGAGAAATGGTAAAGAGAGGCTTTTGAGAAAGATAAGCCTTAATTAAAATACAGTCTTCTGTGGGTTCCTTTCCCCCCCGTGTCTCATAATCCAACTTTTGACAAAAGAAAATGTGAGATTCTGCTGGATTTAGATCTAATTTCAGGTATAGCTTTAGGATTTATGACCCAGAAATTCTTGATTACGCAGATAATGATCATTCCTTTCATCACAAAAGGGAAAAAATACACTTTTCCTGCTGCCACTGTATGTTCTACACGAGGGAAGAAAAAAAAACTTTCAGAAACACTTTCCCTCTTTTTTTCCCCATGATGGTCAACGTACATAGAGTAGCAACATTACAACCTTCTCTCTCTCTCTTTCTCTTTTATTTCTTGTAAATCAGACTGAAGGGAAGAGCACTTTCAGTTCCTTTATAGGATGGAATGTGATGTCACATGGGACTTCTCCATGGTGAGTAAATCCTGATTTTTTTTTATCCTGTCTGCTAACATAACATTTCCACACAAACTCATAGATTTTTCTATTAAAAAGATAGAAAAATCAAATTATTAACTGGTAGAGATTCCAGCCTCCAAGTGGGACCTGGGGATCCCCTGGAATTACAGCTCATCTCCAGACTACAGAGACCAGTTCCCCTGGAGAAAATGGATGCTTTGGAGGGCAGACTCTGTGTTAGGGTTTCCAGCCTTCAGGTGGGGCCTGGGGATCCCCCGCTTTTACGACTGACCTCCAGCTGACAGAGATCAGCTCCCCTGGAGAAAATGGCTGCTTTGAAGAGTGGACTGTATGGCATTACACCATGCTGAGGTCCCGCCCTCCCCCAAACTCCCACCCCCCTGCCAGTGGCCCAGAGGGACCCAGCAACCGTGTTAACCGGTATATTTGTATTTATAAGTTGTTCCAGAATCGACCATTGGAAGAGATTATGGGGGAAATCAAATATCTTCTGTGATAGAGCTTATCCCCCCCCCCCCCCATATGTATATAAATGGTTTAATTAGAGCATGTTCTCATATTAAGTTTAAGGATTGGGTATCATCCATATTTCCGAACAAACCATGTAATTTTTCCTAATTTACTGGAAGTTTGTGTTTTGAAATCTTGTTATGTGTTATTACATGGCTTGTAAATATCCTGGTCTTGAGGATCAAGTGAGGAAAAAAACAAAAAACACCCAACCCCAGGAACACAGGGATGTAAAATTTCTGGAAATTTTGAAGCTGTTTTCTGAAGAAAAGCAGAAACGCTGGGGGAAAGTTAAAATTATACGATCCTTACTTTCTTGTCAATGCTAAACATAAAATGCATCTTTTATAACTTTGTATATGAAATCAACTGTTTATGCATGGCTATTAAATTTAAATGTGCAGCTACCTTAGTTTTCTATAAGCAGTATTTCAAATAGACCCAGTATTAAAGAGAGGATGGAGAACTATAAACAGCTGCACCCTTAGTTTTGCATGCTTATCTTAAGTTTTTGTTATCAGAGAGGCAGGGGAGGGGAGTGGAACATATAATGCCCACATTTTGTAGTAAACAAATGAAAGCGCAGTCGCTCATAAACATGGTCTTCAATAGTGGATTTATGTATTTATTTTATTAACAAGTTTTTTGCCTTGCCTTTCTGCCCTCCTATGGCCACCAGGGTGGCTAACGAAACATACAAATTAAATCTCGTCCTAAAAGCCATTAAACCCAACATACATACATTAAAACAAGTTAAAGCCAGAATTTTAGATGAGTACAGAAAATAAAGGAGCTGTGGTGGCTCAAGTGGTTAAGACACTGAACTGCAGGCTGTGGAAGGTCAGTAGTTCAGCAGTTCGAGACCCAGGTGCCGCATGATGGAATGAGCTCCCATCTCTAGTTCCAGCTCCTGCCAACCTAGCAGTTCGAAAGCAAGAAATTGCAAGTAGATAAATAGGTACCACTTCGGTGGGAAGGTAACAGTGTTCCGTGCGCCTTGGTGTTTAGTCATGCCGGCCACATGACCACGGAAACGTCTTCGGACAGCGCTGGCTCTTCGGCTTGGAAACGGAGATGAGCACTGCAACCCTAAAGTCTGATTCGACTGGCTTTCGAGCAAGGGAACCTTTACCTTTACCTTTACAGAAAGTAAATGAAAGGGACAGTTAAAACATCAGGGAGGAAGGAGGGATCACTGAGGGATTGCGAAGGGAAACAAAAAGAAGTCTTACCTGTTGGCGAAAGAGAGCAAACAGAAGGGGACAGGCGGATATCCTTGGTGAGAGAGTTAACACAGAGATTATAGGATATGAATTGTGAACAAAGTTAGTCCCATTAAGTTGTGTTGCGTATGTATGGTATGTACAGGAATTACTCTCTAACATTGTAAATGGTTTCACATTTTGCGTTAGTCAAACCTTATTCTAAAAAAGTATTTTGCTTATTTTGAAATAAAATATTTCATTGGAGCTTTTCAGTCCTCCCCAGAATTCCAGTTCTACTCTTGGATGAAACTGGGGGGCCGGGGGTGGGGTGACTCCTGCGTGGTAGGAGCAAAACAGAGAAGCAACATCTCTAGGGACCAAGCAGGAAACTTTTTTTGGGGGGGGGGGGGTGTCTTAGAGTTTTGATTTCCTAATGACTCATGTAGATTTGCTAATATCTGCGGTAGTTAGAATTATAGCAGGCTAGATTTTATATAAAGGTGAATATAAGAAGCTGATACGCAAAAAGACAGTGCCTTGCATATTGTAAGCCCATATGAATGGAGAGGATCAAGAACACTTTTTTATAGTTGCCAAATGATCTAGTGAAATTGTACTTTAAACAAATCTTGCCTCTTGTTAAAAATTACAGTTTAACTGGTAATCTTATTAATTAAATCACAGCATTCTTCTACCACACGGGATACTATATAATTTTCTTTTCTTGAATATATGGCTCTTTTTTCACACGACAAAAATAAAACATTAAAAATAAAAACACTGTGCATAGAATACTAAACTATGATGATGATTTTAAAAAACAGACACTGCTGTGTCCTCATCCACTACATCACCTATATTTAAGGTAAATTTCTGTATATTGCAATCATTGTGCGTGTGAAGTGCCACCAAGTTACTTCAGACTTGTGGGGACCCTATGAATTAATGACCTTCGTAAATCATTGTGCATTTTGTCACTTTGGCTTATATGTATTTTTTTTTTATTTTGAGACAGCTCTCAGCAAAGCCTAAGAACGAGGTTGGTGTTGATTTCTATTTCTTGGCATGTCCTCGTGCTGTCTGTGTGCGCATGTAGTTTTGTTAATCAAAATGCAAACAAACGGAAGGAACACCCTGGTTTAAAATATTTCCAGTGCATTGTGCATGCTTTAAATGGTCAGACTAACAAGAAACCTGCTCTGAAAGGCCCACTTAATGTGTCCTGTGACTGCAATCTCAAGTTTGCAGTTGAGTTTACATCTTGCAAGGTGTGATGGACAATCCTGACCCGGCGGTGACTGTACATGGATAATGTACGTGTTTCTAAACAACAGGTGTGTAATTCACACATTCCTCCTGCCAACCTAGCAGTTCGAAAGCAAGGAATTGCAAGTAGATAAATAGGTACCGCTTCAGTGGGAAGGTAACAGTGTTCTGTGCACCTTGGCGTTTAGTCATGCCGGACACATGACCACGGAAATGTCTTTGGACAGCGCTGGCTCTTTGGCTTGGAAACGGAGATGAGCACCGCAACCCTAGAGTCAGATTCGACTGGCTTTCGAGCAAGGGAAACCTTTACCTAATTCACACATTATATTCTCAGTCTGCCATTAAAACATAGGTTACATCTAAACATTTAACTCATGAATTATCAAATTTATTAGTGTTTGAGGAAGAAATCAAATGAGGCAGCCTCTGAAAGCAGCTTCAAGCAAAGCAGGAAGCATTTTAAGGATGCATGCTTTGAACTACTTGACTGCCATTTCTCTGAGATGATACAAAACTAGACTAGATATTTCTAGCTCTTTTTCTGCCAAGTGTAATAGTAGATCAGGTTCTAGATTATCTAGGTACCTGCTGCCTAGGGATGCCAGCCTCCCGGTGGGACTTGGGGATCCCCTGGAATTACAGCTTATTGCCAGACTACAGAGATTAGTTCCCCTGTGGAAAATGGATGCTTTGTAAGGTGGTCTCTGTGGCATTGTAACTGTCAGACTCTTGAGCAAAGTTACTCTCAACAATACTCTCTGGCAGTGATTTATTTATTGAGAAATAAAGAAGTGCCAAGTTAAAACAGGTACTGTGTCAGAACTGAGGTTCTGGCGGGAAACCCCAAAATATGGACAGTTCAAGCAATCCCCCCCCCCCCTTCGGTCCCATCCAATCACACACTGCAAACACCCCACCTAGCTTTTGCACTCTATACACCCCCATCTGTGAATCTACCATTACGTTATTTCAGACAGCAGGGCAAGCACAGACATTGACTCAGGTAATCCTTAAGTAGGGAGGCAACTTGAGTTACATTGCCACTACAACAGAGCCATTCTCACACCCTCACGCTTACACCCCCTCCTCTGAAATTTCCCTCCCTCTACAGGCCTCCACTCCCCAGAAATATGTCAAACAAGAGTCCGAGTTTGACAGTAACCCACTGAGGTCCCTATCCTCTCTGAGCTTCATAAGCCAATCTTCAGGATCCTGGATCGAGCAGCTGTACCCCCCCAATCGCCCCCTGGTGGCCGGGGGGTGGGAGGCTGGCAACCTTACTGTTGTGGGAGGAGATGGCAGCATTAGTGTAACTAGGCATTGTGGCCGCACTGTTAGTGAAAGCAACGTGGGGAAAGAAGGTTCTCGGCCAGACCTGCTCAGGTGATGCAGAACGTCTGCACAGTCATTGATAGCAGTACCAATAAAATCCAGAGTGCTAGGGGGGTTGGCTTTTTGCATCTGTATTCTTCCACCCCTTATTAATATTGATCATACCTAACTTCCCACCCACATTTGAAATAAAAGCGCAGCTTGTTCAATGCATGTTCCAATTTTTAAAAATGTTTTTGTATATATGTAAGCTCTGGGTTTGATTGTTTTAAGGATGTGTTTTTAAAGATGTGATTTTATTATGTATGTTTTAATTTGTTAGCTAGATAAAGAAAAAAGGCAGTCTCTCGAAACAATGTACAAACAAGTGCAACAGGACAGAAAAGAAGACATATACAGCTGGAAGCCTAATGAATAACATGGCTTCCTGCAAGAGAAAAAGAAGCACATTTCTAGTTTGAAGAAAAGAATAACATTTATTTATCTAGATGGGCAGTTGTGTTTGTCTGTAGCAGTGAAAAAGAGCCAGAGACCACTAACACCTTAAAGACTGACATAATTTGTGGCAGGGGAGGAGCTTTTGTGAGTCGCTAAAGAATCTGAAGAAGTGAACTGTGACTCACGAAAGCTCCTACCCTGGCACAAATTTTGTTCATCTTTAAGGTGCTGCTGGACTAATTGGTATCCGATTTCTCCCTTGGGATCCAAAAAAATGGAAGCCTATTGAAAATATAACAACCAGTAAATTGATCAAGCATCTCTGCAACATCAGATAGGACTCACTGCTGTTTGCTTCTCCAGACTACAAAGATCAGTTTCCCTGGAGAACATGGATGCTTTGGAGGGCAGATGCTTTGGAGGGGCACTGTACCCCACTTGAGGTCCCTGTCCTCCCCAGGCTCCACCCCAAAATCTCTAGGAGTTTCCCAACCTGGACCTGGCCACCCTTACCTCCCCCAGTGGCTGAGGGGACCTGGAAACCCTAATTGTGAGCCACCCTGTGGATACAGTTTGGATGGAAGAATGAGATATAAGCTTTTGAATGAATAAATATTAACACACACACACCCCTCCAAACTGCCTCACCAGCCAACGGGGAGGGTGATTTGAAGATGCAAAACTGATCCCTCCCCCTCTCAGAGATGTTGTCCTGGGTCAGTGCTTTAAACTAAATTAAAATAGTATTTGAGTTGCGTCATGTGTTCCTCAAACAGTCTTGTGTTTTCTGATTACTGCATGTGTAAATGTTCTTCTTAACCAGCAGATGGAGGTAGAACTCTTACATGATGCATGTCCAGCATTTACTTGAAACAGAGGTATATAATAAAGGTAGCTCTGGTGTGGCAACCTGTTGAAAACAGAGTGTTGTGCTTTTTTGAAAAACTTTGATCTGCGTCACAGCCTAGCCATATAGATCCATAGATTAGTAGATCGATTCATCTCCTTAGAGTGCTTTAGGCATTTCTAGCTTTATACACTCCTAAAGCTTTAGCAGGGTGGCATAAGATGAGCAACCTACAATGTTCGTTTAGAAAAACTGCTAAGCACCTGGTAGCTTAACCCAAGGCATGTAGGAAGGGTACCAGGGTGTGTGTGTTTTGGGGGAAGGGGGCGTGGTTCAGTGTTAAAGCATCTGCTTGGTATGCAGAAGGACCCGGGTTCAAACTCTGGCATCTTTAGGTAAAATGATTTGGCAGTAGATGATGCGGAAGACCCCTCTGCTTGAGACCCTGGACAGCCACTGGCAGTCTGTGTAGACAATACTAACCTCTGATGGACCAAGGGTCTGATTCTGTATAAGGCAGCTTCATGTGTTCATGAGGGTTGGATCCAGCCAAACTTTTTTATTCAATTCAGCTAGCTCTCCCTCTGAGGCGGAGGGCATCTTGATGGGTGTTTCCCACTATCCAATCAGGGAGGCAGGAACCATTTTTTTGACTTCCTGTCTCTTGCCTGTGAGAGTCACCCTCTTCAGTTTCTTTCCTGCTTCAGCAATGAGAGCAGCTAGTGAATAGGCTTTGCCTTTTTCAATGCTAAAATCTCTTTTTTTCTCTCTTCTTTCTTAATCACTAAAAGCTTTTTCTATTCTATCTCCCTCCCCTAAACCCTCTTTTGACCCAAACTGCTCCCCTCCCCTGATCTCCGGGAGAGCAGCGAAGGGCAGCTGTCAAGCTCACTCTAGCAATGGTGACCACTCTGTGGCCGTGACGGAGGGCGAGAGAATTTGGCTGCTCCAGTTATGGCACAGAAGGATGGCAGCAATGGATTGCTGTCAGAGGGAGAAACCTGTCTGTTCTTAATGTCAGGCACAAGGGAGACTGCCGGGGAAAGCAGCAAGGCACACAGTTGGCTTCCCTCAGCAGCTGCGGCCAACCCCTGGTTGCAAGGAGAGGGAAAGCGTGCGAAAAACACCAGGGCCCGAAGCTGGTTCGAGCCTTTCGGCTAATGATGGCAGCCGTTTTACACAGCTACAAATGCCTCATGGAGGCAGCTCTTATGCGGGAACAGCCAATCCTGCAGTCCTTCAAGCTGATATCAGAAGATGATCAAGGCACCACTCGTGACAGCTGAGACCTGGTTTGCCCGTTTTGCCAAAGTTTTTAGTTGTGATTTTGAGAATAACCAGGTAAATCCCTCTCTTTCCGCACTACCACATTGGCCAGAGGTAACAGAGCGTGAGGTGAGCTCATTGATCGAATCCACACCCAGTGGTAAATCACCCGGCGAGGACTTAATTCCAATTGAGTGCTTTAAAGCATTTATTGATTAGAGAAGATTGACTCATGGAAAGCACCTCAAAGCATGACATCTCCTCAACCACTTCAAAGAAGTCTGGATCCAGTCTCAAGCAGACCTCTGGACTGTGGAGTTAGTCACCAAGGGTTATGCAATAGAATTTTCCAATCCTCCACCTGAACGCTTCATTCCAAGAGACCAGAAAAATGCCTCAGGATCGCCCAGGCAGCCCAACATCTTCTCACTATCGAGCCTGTGCCACCTCCAAAGAAAAGATGCAGAGTTTTTATTCTGTCTTCTTTACTGTGCCATAAAGAATGGGTACTGGAGGGCCATCATGGATTTTAAACTTCCTCAACAAGTCGGTCAAATTGCTACGTTTCAGGATGAAAACACACTGATCCATTGCAGAATCCCTACAACCAGAGAGTTCCTCACGTCCATACATCTTATGGAGGCATACCTGCACATTCCAATTCTTTCAAGGCACAGGAGATATCTCTGCTTCTGCATTGGGGAGGATCTCTGTCAATTCAAGGTGGTCCCGTTTAATCTCTCAACTGCTCCGGGAGTCTTTTTCCAGGGTTCTGATCAATTGTCATATTAAGAGAACTGGGGATCCACATACATCTTTATTCAGACAACTTACTGATCACGTCCAGCCCCAGAGTCAAATCATCAGCAAATATGAAGATGACCATT